GTTAGTATTTGCTGCGTCGAATTAATAACCTTACGAAGAACATTCAACTAATTAAATACAACCGCTTTGTTTTGTGTTGTTTAGCTTCATCGATCTCTCTAATTCTTAAGGCTGCCACTAGATTAAATCTTGAGCGCTTGTCTAGGGTTGTTTAGGGTAAGATTAATTAGGATCGCTTGTTTCCTGATTAATTACAATTAAGGAGAGATAGAATAGTTCCAACGGTGAATATTCAAGTGTGAATTGATTATCTTCGCGTCAATGATCAGTGTAAGATCCGATGGTGGATGTTGACGGAGACCAATTTCGTTATTTAATTGAATTCGAATTATTGTTTTTGTTTTTGCTGAGATTGTTTTCTGTTTTACACAAAACCCCCCAGCTTTGTTCACATATCCAAATTCGGCTAGACACTCTTCGTGGGATCGACCCTGACTTACACTACTACTTGTATTTTTAGGTTTTAATTCTGGGTGCCTACGACAGCACGCCATCAGTCAATCTCAAACGTGAAAATGACTCAATTAATTTTAAATTCAAATAATAATCTTCATATATTAACCGATGTTATAAGTTAATTTAAATTATTAATTTTATGTTACACAAACTCTGTACACATATACAAGTTATTTTTACTCTAAAACTTGTATAATTAACACGTTAAGGTAAATCATTTTTTTTTTTTATCACCAAATTAAATTTGATTCTGTTTTGTGATAACACCACATAAACCCTAAACCATTATTCACAATCCAGGCAATATTTAATATCATCATGACGTTCTTACTTGAATGCTTAACAAAGTATTTATTACGTTTACTACCGTTTCATATCCTCTATCCAAAAAGTTATTAACGTTTTTCAATCAATGTGTTTACTTATTACCAGACATTTATGATTTTCCTAAAGCAGCTTTGTATTCTCAATACAAATAAATACTTTTAAATTTTAAATAAATATTAACATAACGTTAAAGTGATACAGCTTAAATCGCTCATTCAAGTTGAGAAGACTACCTGAATATTATGTGGTCTAATCATACAATTGATGTTATTTTTCCAATTTATTCTTCTCATCTTTTCTATTAAACTCATGCTATTTAGGTCTTATCTTCTTAAACACCATGTTTATTCATTTAATATCTTTATTCATGTTCCATCTGTTTCTTTGTATTCCAATTAAACAGAACCATCTATCAATAACATCAATACCCTTCTCATTATACTTTTTGATGATATCTCGTGTTGTACCATGTGTGTACTAATCAAATATATAAATATTTAATATACCTATATAGAATTAACATGAATGCAAACCGTTTACATTTAAATCAACAATTATTTTACAAAACTATTAAAGACCAGATTCGGATAAGAACGCTGACTCCTATTAATAACAAACCGAAAATTATCTAAGCAGTTGAAACCAAAAAAAGGGAAAAAAAAAAAAAAATTGTTGGCTACCTACACACAACATATAAATCGCAGATACCATATCAACAACTAATTTCCATATGCTTACATCCAAACCCACCACCAGACATCATGATTCCTTTCAAATTACACAAGAAACAACCCACATGTTTGTTACAATTATCGTCAGAAATTCTACAACGAATCATTGTGAAGCAACCGACAAAGATCACACCACTTTACAAGTAATACAGTTAACTTAAGTTTTGCTAAAACCATTGTATCTCATTAATATAATTTTTTCATTGTTTTCTTACTCGCACAGAAAATGATATTATACAAAATGGTTAAATACAACTAATAACATAAGATAGTACTTTGTTCTACATCAGTCTTATAACAATAACGATTAACCATAGAAATGACTTTGCCGAACTATCTGCATCTTTAGCTGTTAAAGTTTTCTAATAAACAAAAAACAAAATGCATTTTAGGATCCATATTTAAGTGATTTATATTTGGTACACTTATTTATTCTTAACTGCTGAATCATAAGGTAATTGTATTATCATTCCCAACTGTGAATTTTTTTTTTTTTAACTATTATGAATCTTATGCTTCAAACCATTACTTACCGTACAATTTACAGGTGCAAATATCTAACAAACGAGCAAACATAAACAAATATTACGACAATGGACATTTCGAACAACAACACAAACTACCAACAATAATGACAGTGGACTTTCAATTTTGAAGACACTTGCAGAAGTAGAATAACAAGCTTTGCTACTGCTAGAACACATTTGTTCTTCATCAAACATGACACATATATGGGATTGAAACTGTTGATTGTAGTTTGCCAAAAATATAACATGCAAGCAATGTATCACACTGCCGTTGCTCTGCTTACTGTACATGACAAAGAGGTACACAAATTCTGATGAAATTAGTAAAACTACCTAATCATTTCTACAAACTGGAATATTGCAGAAAAGAATTCAAGTCCCTTACTCCGACTGCAACAATTCTCATTAAGAGACGAATATTGTGGACTTGCAACAAGGATAATCAAAATCGTATCCATTGGGACAGATCAACGTCACCAGAAAATATCACATGTCATAGTTTAACGTGGATTACCAATAGTCTGTATAAATTTAATTTTTAGTATTTTCGTATGTAATTTCTAGCACTGTACAATTTCAAATGCTTTTTAGTTTAATCTGAAAATAAAGTTAAAAATTCATTCGATTATCAACGATTGATCCAATATTAATAACTTATAAAGAAATTCATCACAAGATTACAATATTTAGTACACGTAAACATAGTTAAAAAAATATTAAATACCAATGATATGACAATTTCAAATAATAAAAATGTTCGCAACACAACATCTAAATACTGTTTCAACAATAAAAATAAATTCCCTTCCATTATTCATTAGAATGATTCTACACCGAACCACAACATATTTGGAAACCTGCTTGCCGAACCATTGTTAACTATTTATGACTTCTCCTTTAATGCACCACAAACAGTTTTGCTACAGTTGTCAACATTTCTTTCAATCAACGTGTCTATCTTTGTTGTTAGAAGTTTGTAAATTTTCCCAGAGAAACTTTCATACTGAGTGATATGTACCCCAGATACTCTACTAACGTTCATATCACCTTACCCATTATTATTGACACTTTTTCGATCGCTATTTATTCATTACCACACTCGGTTGATATTCCACCCCTTTGTATCCTATACTCCTATAAATATTATTTTAGACTGATAAAATATTATTGTCCATCCTTTGAAAATACGATAAGATTTGTTATTAGTAAATCACATTTTTGTTTTTATATATAACTTAACATCTTGCGAACCATTATTACCGACCTAACTAATATGCCACACACTTAACAAAATACTTATTACCATTTCCTTTAATATTGTACAGATAGTTTACTAACGTTTCGTATTACCTTCCAAACAATTATTAACCCTTTTTCGATCGACACATTTATTATTACCAGATGTATGTTCATATTTCCCCTTTTCGTATCCTATTCTTCTATAGAATGCTCTGACATCAATCACCCATTTAACTTTCTTCAGATACTAGCATTGTATTGTTCATTTCTTCTCCAAACTTAATTTGAAGATGGCTAACAAAACATCACAACTAGAAGAATCTGCAACGAATACCAGCAACGATCTCAATAACAATAATCTCTACCAAGGCAACTAGAAGGTATAAAGTTCCACATCTTTTGTATCCTAAATTACGAAATCACAAACCATGATACATTTTGCAGGAATATAAAAACCACTAAAAAGAAAAAAAAATTGATATGTCAGAGTTAATCTGATAATTAATTTACGCATTCATGTTACCGTTTCATATATATAAAAATGATTGTATATATTTCTCACAATTTTTTAGACATTTTTCAAGGAATGCCGGAATTGAAAGAGATTTTCAAAAAAGTTGAGACCAATCAAGATGATCTACATACTGCAAAGACAATTCGCAGAAGTCATTAACCAACTGTTACAAATCATGGAATCTGCTATGGATGTTATTTATAACCTAAACAAAAGGAGTATGCATATGCACTAGAGGAACTGAACAACTATAAGAAAAGTATGAAATAAAGTCTATATTGTCCAAACTCAATTCTCAGTATAAAAAAGCGATGTACTTAGTGTCTTTATAATAAAAGTATTATTCTCTATATTCAATTTTATCTTGATTTTGGTGTTGCTCATTAATGATTAAAAATTGTTCTATATTCAATTTTATCTTGATTTTGGTATTGCTTATTAATTGGTTGAAAATTGTTCTCTATCATACACGTTCTTATTTTGATTTGATTATTTCATCTTTGCACATTGGATAGTACAACAATAATTATATATGTACATTCATAGACATTCCAAAATCTAACCATTTTCAAGAAATATATAAAGAAAAAAAACAGTCAATACAAACCTGAAAATGAACTCAATATAAATTTTAAGTTCAAATAATTGATATTCATAATATTATTGACATTAATAATTATAAAGGTACAATTACTAATTTTATGTTACACACATTCTGTATGTATATAAAGTTATATTTAATCTAACACTGGTACATATATAAAAATTATTTTTACAACCTATTCTAAAAATATTAAAATAACATCCCCGCGCAACATGCGGCCGATACCTAGTTAAATTTTTATATACTCAGATAAGATACATAATCAAATTTCTTGTTCATTTTACAATTATTATTTTCTCTAAATTTCATATAATTTATTACCAATTGAATTTAACATATGCATATATTTAATAATAAGATTTTATTCAGTATTCCATTAGCACTTGCAGTGATTAGTCATGAGTTCTAAATTCTAAAGAATATCATACTTTTTTTTTTTTTTTTCAAAATTAATTGAAAATCACACGCTTCGCAAAGCATCATCTCTCAAAATCACAACTTTAGCAAAAAATATTGACACGTCATTAGTACCAGTGGTCCTGACACACCGGATTATCGCCTAATTATATAAACAGATCACAATTTCTCTAGAAATTTCTATCTTTCGTGTTCAGCCGCCGCCGCTATAAACAGCATGCCTACGAAGCTCCGGAGGTCAGTGACCGTTCAGATCTATTGATTTTTTTGTTCATTTATACCATTTTGATTTGGTATTTTGGTTTGCTGCGAAATAATCCTGAAATATTTTTTTTTTTTGTTTTTGAAAGGAAAAAGTGAAATAAGTCTAATTAGTTTGTTTAGAATGATAAAGTGAGTTGCTTTTAGAGTTCAGAATGAAAGTTTTTTGCTTTTAGGGTTTAAAATGTCAAAGTAGGATGCTTCTAGGGTTTCCAATAGCAAAGTTTATAGGTTTTTTTTTTTTTTTTTTTTTTTTTTTTTTTTTTTTTTTTTTGGTAAACCCGGTAATTGCCTCCCCCGCTAATCGAACACGAGACGCTTGGCTATGGCTAACACCAGTGACTAAAGGACTTGCCATCCGAAGTTATAGCTTTTACGGTTTTGAATGAAGAACTTTGTGCTTGCAGGGTTTAGGATAGAAAAATTTGTTATTTTTAGTGTTTGATATTTGTTTGTGATCGGGATGTTAATTATTTGCAAAACTATAGGCTAACGTTTAATATTGTCAGTTTTTGTCGTATGATTAATGTCTAAGATATTTATAGGTTAGTATAGAAGTTTTGGGTGTGATTCGGATATTTATTTGGTTTTGCATTCTGCATTGAATTTGAGGTAACTGGGTCCAAGATTTGATACCGTGGCTGTAAATTTTTCTTGGTTTAGGTTATTGGTATGTATATTAAACCCATTTTGTCCAAACTATAAAAAGGCTTTGGGGTCTAGTGTTCTTGTGGAGACGCTCAGGTTGTATGTGTCTACTGCTGTGACGGGATATTCTTTATTGATTCTAATGGTGATTTTACTTTCTTCTGTAGGAAGACCTGCACCCCGCGCTGCTCCACGACGTAGCCCACCCCCTCCACCAGGTGCTTTTTTGTATATTTCAAATAAACACGCAACATATTGTTTTTGTTTTACAGTGTATAAATAAATGTAATTTTTCAACGTGTTTTTTCTTACCATATTTTAAAATTGGGTATGCACTTGATTTTAATGTCTGATATTTCTTATTTTATGCAGTTCAACATGCCCCTTCTCCTGCTCCAGCTCAAAGTGGTGGTGGTGGTGGTGGATCGATGCTTGGAGGCATTGGCTCAACCATAGCTCAGGGTATGTTAAGATTATCGGTTTTGTTAGATTTATTACATATAAATTTTTCTAAGGGTTGCTATGTCTATTAAATTCAAATTTGAGTCATGGAGCAAATCTGAACTTTTGTTCTCTCTGTCTTTTAGGCATGGCTTTTGGTACTGGAAGTGCAGTGGCACACAGGGCTGTGGATGCTGTCATGGGTCCTCGAACTATCCAACATGAAACTGTGGTCTCTGAGGCTGCTGCTGCTGCCCCATCTCCAACTACAAACAGCCTTGCCGGCCCTGATGCCTGCGGTATTCACTCCAAGGCATTCCAAGATGTACGTATATTTTTTTCCTTCAGCTAATTGTTATTATTGATAGACTTGCTTTGATATGCGGACGGTTTCATCCTGTTTCCTAGAAGAACTTAATGGATAAGTTAGAAGCAAAAGAATTACTCTGCTTCTAGTTAAACCAATATATTGATGTTTGCTAAATGTGTATTCACAGATTTTGAAAGCATAGAACTTACAGAAGCTAAAACGTTTTCTTTCACTGGAAGCATCAAAACCAATTCTTTAGTTTGTTTGTCCTTGTTGGTACTGTCAATAAGTTTATGTTTTAACCGGTGTGATAGTTCTTTGTTTTCTTATGTGAGATATCATCTAAAATCTAATTTTTAAATTTCTATAATTGACTTGCTAAATTATGTTTATAATAATTTATATTAGATTCACTTGCAGTGCTTCCTGAATAGTCTTTTGATATTTATATGATTTGGGTCATTAAAAATATTCTAATAAGAGATTGGCTGACGTAATACTCTTTTTGTTACTTGTAGTGCATCAACAACTTTGGAAACGACCTCAGCAAGTGTCAGTTCTACATGGATATGCTTGCTGAATGCAGGAAGACCTCAGGCGCTGTGTTGGGTGCATAAACGTTCCCTTTGCTTCGCTATTTGATGGGTATTCAGCTATGAAGTTGTGATGTTTTAATGACGATGATTCTGTGCGTATGTAGTTGAGGATTTACACGGGAAACTCTTTGAACCCCGATATTGTTATTGAAACATTGGTACTTTTAAATATTAATGGTGCTTGGATAAAAGATTCAATTGATTACTGCTTGTGGCTTATTAGTAGTCTATGCATTTTCTTGATGTGGCAAAATCTGAAAGGGCTGGAATTGTTGTGTTGTATGATCAAAGTGGAAAACATATTTGCTGCAAGCAGAAAGGAAAATGAGTCTGGGTTTTTTTAAGTATTCATCTTTGGAAGTTGTACAAATTATTTTATTTAAAAAATCGATTAAATGGGAGTGCACATGGAAGAGTAAATAGCTTGTTAGGTGCACTGTTTTAAAAACCGGACCGGATTGGCCGGTCCAATCGGTTGGACCGGGAACCGGTCATGTGTTTGGTTCGAGTCAACATTAAACCTGTTATTATGCATTAAATCGTTTTAACTCGATCAAAACTTGGATAAAGTCAATGGATAAATCGGTCTGATTTCAAAAACCCCTAACCTACGCAAACGCGCTATTGCGTAGCCCATTCCATTGATTTCCTTTCTCTGTTTCTTAGCTTCTTCTCTTTCTCTGTTTCTTAGCTTCTTCTCTTTCTCTGTTTCTCTACTAAAATTTCACAGATTTCTCAACTTCTCTTCAAAAATTTTTCTCTGAAATCCCACTCAAATCGCAATCAACTCCATTCCCAAAGTTTAAAATCGCAACCATTCGGCATTCACCAAATCGCAACTAAACTCTCTCGCCAAAAATCAACAACGTTTTCCTCCCTCGCTAGAAATTGAGCTAAGGAAGGGTAGAGGGCGATAGTGTTGTGGCGTCGCTCATAGTGAGGGTAGAGTACGACGACGTTGTTCACTGCAAGGGGAGAGGACAACGACATTGCTCACAGTAAGGGAAGAGAATGATAGCGTCACTCACAGTGAAAGGGAGTGGACAGTGGCATCATTTGCTGTGAAGGAAGAGGATGGTGGTGCGACTGATTGGGAAGGGAGGAGACGACAGAGGTTGAGAGTGGTTTTATCCTCTTTCTTCGCATTTCGCTGTGAGGGAAATGGGGATTTTAGCTAAGAGTGGTGGTGGAAGTGGAAGAGGATAGAAGATGGTTGAGATTGGCAATGGGGTTGTGAACTTGTGAGTGGTGGTGGAAGAGGATAGACAAAGGTGGTGGTTATGGTTTGTTATTTGAAAGGGAATTGGGGATTTTGATTTAGTGGTGGTGAGATGTATTTTAGAATCCAATGGTTTTATTTTTTATTTTTTTTTATCGCATAAAGACATCAAAGACCCTCATTCCTTTAAGACCATTTGTGTTGACAATTTCGGCAAAATGAAGATCGACCAAATAGTTTCCAGGACACAAGTTTTTGAATCGGTAACTGAAATTTCCAAATCTTGCACATTGATAAATGGATGGCATATCACCACCATCAATTATATTTTCATTTGTTCTCAAAACCTCCCCTCCTTCGAAATAGCAATCCAAGTCCAAGTCAACGCTAGAATCTCTTTTCTTTATAGCCCCACCTCCGGTCACAAACGTCACAAAGATTATCTAGTTCAAGAAACAAAACAAGTATGAAACAATTGGACTGAAAATAAAAGTACTTCTGATTTCTAAGTTACCGAAAAAGAATCAAGGTCTTGGTTTCTTTTTCCATCGTTTAGCAAAAAGCCAAAAATGAAAGAAAAACTAAAGTTGAGAATAGAAGAAAACGAGTGTAATTAATATAAACCTCTTATGTTTGTACTGAGAACTCCCGATTTAATCAATCTTGCACCCGAGACGTAGAGTACCGCATCAATTGAATTCGTATCGTAATTCTCCATTCTAAAATATTTTAATTAATATAAACAGGTTTTTTTACACAAATTATCGATTTAAATAGGTTTTTTTTAAATGTGTTGACATCATCATGCTGTGTGATGACATCACCGGTCCAACCGGTTGAACCGTGACCGGGCAGTAGAGCAGGTTGTCCTCCGGTCCGGGATTTAAAACAGTGGTTAGGCGTTAGGTTAATGGTAATATCCAATGTTTAAAAACCCGGCAAATTTAACCAGTTCGATCAGGAACCGGCCATTGAGTTGGGATGGGTTGGCCTATAAATCGGGGATATGCATTCACCCGGCATGATCCACAGTTGGATTAGGGTCATTGTAGCAACCCATCGGTTCAATCAGTTATGGGGCAAAACCGGGTGAATTCTTACACGGTTTTCAAGCCCTTAAATTGACTTTCTTTACCGTTTTCCCCAATTTTTTCATTCTTTGTTGGGCCTAACCCATTTTTCTCTCTTCCATCTCTTCATTTGAATCACTTCTTCATTTCATCTCTTCACTTGAATCACTCCTCTTGTTCAACAATGGCCGTCACTCAGCTTTTCTCCCACTCACCTTCACTTTCCAAAACCTTAACCCAAAATCCATTTACTAAATTCCCCATTCTACCCCTCAAATCCTCGTTCAACCTTTGAACAACCCCTAAACCCTTCACTCTTTAGGCAGTACTGTCTAAGAACCCGTATTAAAAATTGTTCTTATATTCTTTATCTTGATTTTGGTATTGCTTATTAATTGGTTGAAAATTGTTCTCTATCATAACACGTTCTTTTGATTTGATTATTTCATCTTTGCACATTGTGGTACTAACAATAATTATATATGTACATTACATAACATTCCAAAAATCTAACCATTTTCAGAAAAAATATATAAAGAAAAAAAACAGTCATATCAAACCTGAAAATGACCTCAATATAAATTTTAAGTTCAAATAATTGATATTCATAATATTATTGACATTAAAATTATAAAGGTACAATTACTAATTTTTAGGTTAACACAATTCGGTATGTATATAAAAGTTATATTTAATCTAAAACTTGTACATATATAAAATTATTTTTACAACCTATTCTAAATATTAAATAAACATACCCGCGAACATGCGGCCTCGATACCTAGTTAAATTTTTATATACTCAGATAAGATACATAATCAAATATTTCTTGTTCATTTAACAATTATTATTTCCTCTAAATTTCTATAATTTATTACCAATTAGAATTTAACATATGCAATATATTTAATAATAAGATTTTATTCAAGTATCTCAGCATTGGCACTTGCAAGTAGATTAGTCTGAGTTCTAAATTCTAAAGGAATATCATACTTTTTTTTTTTTTTTCAAAATTAAATTGAACACACCGCTTCAGCAAAGCACTCTCTCAAAATCACAACTTTAGCAAAATATTGACACGTCATTAGTACCAGTGGTCCTGAGCACACCGGATTATCGCCATAATTATATAAACAGATCACATTTCTCTAGAAATTTCTATCTTTCGTTGTTCAGCCGCCGCTATTAAACAGCATGCCTCGACGAAGCTCCGGAGTCTGACCGTTCAGATCTATTTTGATTTTTGTGTTCATTTATACTCATTTTGATTTGGTATTTGGTTTGCTGCGATAATCCTAAATATTTTTTTTTTTTGTTTTTGAAAGGGGAAAAGTGAAATAAGTCTAATTAGTTTGTTTAGAATGATAAAGTGTATGCTTTTAGAGTTCAGAATGATAAGTTTTTTGCTTTTAGGGTTTAAAATGTCAAAGTAGGATGCTTCTAGGGTTTCCAATAGCAAAGTTTATAGGTTTTTTTTTTTTTTTTTTTTTTTTTTTTTTTTTTTTTTTTTTTTTTTGGTAAACCCGGTAATTGCCTCCCCCGCTAATCGAACACGAGACGCTTGGCTATGGCTACACCCAGTGACTAAAGGACTTGCCATCCGAAGTTTATAGCTTTTACGGTTTTGAATGAAGAACTTTGTTGCTTGCAGGGTTTAGGATAAAAAATTTGTTATTTTTAGTGTTTAGATATTTGTTTGTGATCGGGATGTTATTATTTGCAAACTAAGGGCTAAGCGTTTAATATTGTCAGTTTTTGTCGTAGTATTAATGTCTAAGTAATTTATAGGTTAGTATAAAGTATTTGGGTGTGATTCGGATATTTTATTTGGTTTTGACATTCGCATTGTTTTGAGGTAACTGGGTCCAGATTTGATACCGTGGCTGTAATTTTTTCTTGGTTTAGTTATTGGTATGTATATTAAACCCATTTTGTCCAAACATAAAAGGCTTTGGGTCTAGTGTTCTTGTGGGAGACAGCTCGTAGGTTTATTGTCGGTATTTGCATGTGCTCTAGTTTCTGTTACTTTCTTCTGTAGAAAACCTGCACCCCGCGCGGCTCCACGACGTAGCCCACCCCCTCCACCAGTGCTTTTTTGTATATTTCAAATAACACCGCAACATTTTTTTGTTTTACAGTGTATAAATAAATGTAATTTTTCAACGTGTTTTCTTACCATATTTTAAAATTGGGTATGCACTTGATTTTAATGTCTGATATTTCTTATTTATTGCAGTTCAACATGCCCCTTCTCCTGCTCCAGCTCAAAGTGGTGTGGTGGTGGTGGATCGATGCTTGGAGGCATTGGCTCAACCATAGCTCGGGTATGTTAAAATTATCGGTTTTGTTAGATTATTCATATAAATTTTTCTAAGGGTTGCTATGTCTATTAAATTCAATTTGAGTCATGGAGCAATCTGAACTTTTGTTCTCTCTGTCTTTTAGGCATGGCTTTTGGTACTGGAAGTGCAGTGGCACACAGGGCTGTGGATGCTGTCATGGGTCCTCGACTATCCAACATGAAACTGTGGTCTCTGAGGCTGCTGCTGCTGCCCCATCTCAACTACAAACCCTTGCCGGCCCTGATGCCTGCGGTATTCACTCCAAGGCATTCCAGATGTACGTATATTTTTTCCTTCAGCATTGTTATTATTGATGACTTGTTTTGATATGCGGACGTTTCATCCTGTTTCTCGAAGCACTTAATGGATAAGTTGGAGCAAAGAATTACTCTGCTTCTAGTTAAACCTATATTGATGTTTGCTAAGAGTGATTCACAGATTTTGAAAGCATAGAACTTACAGAAGCTAAAACGTTTTCTTTCACTGCAAGCATCAAAACCAATTCTTTAGTTTGTTTGTCCTTGTTGGACTGTTCAATAAGTTTATGTTTTACCCGGTGTGATAGTTCTTTGTTTTCTTAGGTGAGGTATCATC